ATATGAAGAAAACATTGCCCTACAGAGATAAGTATTTGGAAAAGGGAAAACTGTTTTATACATTTATAGCCTTTTCAGACAATTGTGTATATTCTTCTTTGATTTTATACCAAAACTCAACAGTGGATGGGAATTCTTATGTTAGTTACAATGTGGAATTTGAAATCCTATCAATAATTTTTTTGCATTTTGTGAAAAAGGTTATCATCCTAGTATTATTTTGAAAATAGTTTCGACCTTCCAGACTCCCTAAAAGGGTCTCAGGACCTTCTACAGTCTCTAGACATTGCTTTGAGAATCACTGGCCTTAGCTCCATGGTGACTTTATCATGGGCCAGTCGCTGATAAAGTCACTGATAAAAAGTTCGAATAAGAGAAAGTCTTCCTTCTCTCTCTCTTTTTTAAAGATTTATTTATTTTTTTGAGAGAGAGAGTGCATGAGCAGAGGGAGGGAGAGAATCCCAAGCAGACTCCCTGCTGAGTGAGTGTGGAGCCCAAAGCAGAGCTTGATCTCACAACCCTGAGATCATGACCTGAGCTGACACCAAGAGTTGGACACTCAACAGATTGTATTACCCAGGCACCCCAAGTCTTCACTCTTTCCAGAACCGTACAGAATCCATTTGGCCAGTTTAGTTTGAGAATGTTTTCAACACTCAACAAATACTTAAGCACCTCCTGTGTTTTCTACATCCCCATCACAAAATTCCCTAATCCCCCTCAGTAGTATCCCCCCAAAACAATGCTGTTTTATTTTCATCAAACTGGCACTGCGTATACTACATACATACATAAAGTACCCAGATAGGTGTCTCTCTTACTATCTTTTAATCTTTGATCTCAGTAGCTTGTGTTTTCACAGTTGCACAAGTAACGAGAACCTAGGTATAACCATAATGCCTCGATCACATTTCTCTGGATGACTGCAGTATGCTGATGGGCAATCAGTTGTGACATATGTCACATGTTCCCTGAAAATTTTTATGATTAGAGTACCAAAGTTGGGTAACGTTAACTTTTTTACGAATTGGAGTAATTCAAGATCGCCTCTATAATGATGTCACTTTGCTCAGCTTCTATCCAGTATGCTTTCTTGAATGGAAGGGAAAGGGTTGGGGTGACAGCTACTGCTATCGTCACCTGGTGTTGGCCCCTAGGAGTGGGGGATGCATGTGAATATCACACAGCACGTGTTTCAAAACGGGCAAATAGTTGAGACCTACTGCTCCAGTCCATCAGATTGAGGCCTGGTTGACTACCATCTTAGGCCAGGGTGATCAGATAAATGACAACTTCTTGGTAACCAGAAGTCCATTGTTAACCTCTTCTCTGCCTTAGGTACCCTGTAAGGAATAGGACCAGGTGACAAAAGGAACTAGAAATCAATCACAGGGTGATGAGCAGGCTGTTCCAGAATATGTGCCCCAACACAACAACAGGGGCCTGTCACATACCAGCCCCAAGGAGGCACAGTCACTGTGAGCAAGGCCTTGCTTGTGGGTTTCTGTGGTTTCTGCAAAGGAAAAGCCAATCCAGCAGAGCTAGTTTCCTGGGTGCAAAGAGGCAGTTAGCATCATCTGATAGGAGTTTGCGTGGGAGTGGAGAGAGGGAGGAGACAGGAGACAAATGCAGAGATGAAGGCGGAGGAATGATAATAAGTAACAACTGGTGAGCATCCTTGGTTTGGCAGAACAGTGAAGGTAGTTGGATAACGTCACAGAAGCATCTCGCAGGTATCCTCCTTTGATGGGAAGCAGAGGTGATAACATTTTGAGAAAAGATGGAATATTTTCCCATGTGATGGGGATGGCCATAAGGAAAGAGGCTGGGTCCCTCTCTCCAGTGGTAAGGAAGAAAGAGTGCCCCTTTATGCCAGTGCGGTTTTCTCCTAGGCTGATGAGGACCTAGAAAAAGCTACAGGTCCCACTCACCATTCTTTGAATTCCCACAAGTTCTCCAGATCAGAGACCCCATTTTATAAAAGTTGAAAGAAGAAGATGGAAGGTAGGCATCGTATCCATTTTCTATCACCCTTTAACAAGTTCCCACAAGCTTAGTGGCTTAAACAATAGAAGTATATTGCCTTCGAGCAATAATTCTGTAGTTCAGAAGTCTGAAAGGGGCTAAAAATCAAGGTGTCAGCAGGACTGCACTCCTTTCTAGAAGTTCTAGGGGAGAATCATTTCTTTACCCTTTCCAGCTTCTAGAAGCTGCCCACAAAGGCGTGAATGAGGAGAGCCCTTGGCCCCCTTTCTCCATCTTTAAAGCCAGCAACAAGCATCTCTATGTGCCTTTCTTCTATAGCCACAGCTTCTCTAATTCTCTCCTCTCCTGCCTCCCTCTTCCACTTTTAAGGACCCTTGTCATTACACTGGGTATAGCCAAATAATCCAGGATAATCCCCCTATTTTAAGGTCAGCCGATTAGCAACCTTAATTCCATTTGCAACTTTATTTCCCCTTTGCCCGGTAACCTAACATATTCGCAGGTTGCTGGGATGAGGACATGGACATCTTTGGAGGGCCATTATTCTGCCTGCTGCAATAATTGGAAATAAAAGTGAGAAAAGAGGCAGAGGCTCTTTGTCCCTTCTGGAGTTCTCTGCTCACATTTGGAGAGTCTTGCCTCTCTCTTCTTTTATGCAACCACATTTATGCAAGAGCTAAATATGTCCTATCTGAACTGTATAGTAATTTGTAGGTTTATGTGATCTTGGACAAGAGACAAGGCACTTACCCTGGTTTTTCTTATCTATAACATAACAGGGTTGAAGTAGATGATGTCTCAAAACTCCCCCCGTGTTTCTATCTGACCTTTGAAGTACCCGTGTCTCTGCAGATTATATTCCGAAATGTGATGGTTCATTGCCACTGGGCAGGTCTGCTGAGTTCCCCAAGGCCACAACATCCTTGCCAATAGCTTAGTGGTTAAGTCACTATTGGATTTAATATATGTACTGCCAGCATTGATGAGCATCTTTTCACCTGGATGTCAACACGTACTTTTGTGGGTGTACGAAACATAATAAATCCGACTTTTTAAAAAAATCGACTCCCAGCTTCTGCTCTGCTGATGGCAATGTTCACTGCATTGTACCTTGTCCATGTAGAATGGTCTGTGGCTTGCCACAAGATTTGTTCTTGTTACGGGCCTTGGAAGCACATATACCCCATAATATTAAAATACCTTATGTTTGCACAGCACTTCACAGTTTACAAAATGTCTTCATATCTGTTACTTCATGTGAGCCTCTATAACAGTGTTCTGAGATTGCTAACATTCAGTTCTTTAAAATGGGCGTATTTGTAGGGTTAACTGAGTAACCAGTTCTGTCATAATTCTGCATAGACATTTTATATGCGTCCTTGATCAGTGGTAACAGAGGTACCAAGTAATTTGTTGGAAAACTGACCTCCAGCACTTGATTGAAACACAGACTTACTCACATGCGGCAACAAAGTGATCAGACATCCTTTATATTTTAAATTGGACATCATCTTAATGAGACATCTCACACTGCCTTTTATCTTTACTTTTGAAAGGAAATGCATCCATGGAATGCTCTCCGGCATTTTTCTTAATCATACTTTATTCTGTAGGCATTTTTCCTGCCTTCTTATAGTTTGGATATAGAAGTTATTCACAAGACATTTTCCTAAACATTTATCTGAATATAGATAGAATTATACATATGCAAAATCCTAAGAGTCCCAGTACTGCAATCACACATCAAGATGGCATTATCTGCAGCGGTCTACACTTTCATATGTGGAAGGGTTCCCCAACCTATTTTAGAAATTAATAATTTTTCAAAAATAACTCGAACAAGCTATTTGTCCTTCTGCCTCTGTAGTTCTTAAGGTCATCTGCATAATGCAAAAGGGAGACTTTAAGATGAATTGTAAGCTCATTTAATTTCCAGACGACGTCTATAGTGTTTAAACACTGACATCAAAGCAAAGAGCCAATTATCAGAGTGCATTTGATCTGAAGCCCTGTTGCCTGAATTGCTATAGTTTTCCTTATCCTGAAAAGGAAATCTGTGTCACATCTCAAAGATGTAGTATTTAAAATCACTTTATCTAAAGCAGTTTAACTTGAAACATGTGTTTGGGCTCACTAACCACAAGGAGGCATTGAAGCATCTCTTCAAAATGTGAAAAGCAATTTTACTCAAAAAAAAAAAAAGTTGCACCAACAGTTGCTGAATTTCATATAAGCAATTATACCTGCTTGTGAGTATGTGTGCCTTTTAAGTTCATGCTTTGATCCACTTTTTTTTTTTAACCCCTGAAATGCCAGCAGGAAGAGTTGCCACTGTTTCTTCTTTTAGTTTTGTACAAGAGTAATCCACATGCATTTTCCCTCTGCTCTGTTTCCAGTGGACACTAAGGCAAACTGCAGGACTTCTATCAGTACTGACAAAGTAACTGCATTAACCTTTATTGCCCTCTAAAGGTTAAAATTTCTTTTGACTGGGCGAGCAGAAGCGTATTTCTTTAGTATTCAGAATTACTTAAATACATATTCCTGACAGCAAGGGTTTCTCTGAAATCCGTGTGTTAGTTTAGAATGATTCTGGGGACACATCTTCAAAATGCCACACAGGAAGCATAAATTAAAAAGAGCCAATACGGTTTGTTTGCTTGTTTGTTTTTTAAACCCTGAGCATAATTTTCTTCAATGTTGTTTTGAACATTCATGTTCAATGTCAGACATTTTCCCCATGTTTTTATAATCTTGGTTCCCGGTGGTTTCGCTGGTATTGAAAAATACGAACTCTTCTTTTGCAGAATATGCTGCTTAGCAAATCTTCCAGAATAATGCTTAATCCCCTGAGAAGCAAGGATCTCATTCTTAGGAGTTAGACTGTGTCTGCAAGATGCTTCTGAGAAAATTCTTGCCTAGAAATGTGGACTGTGACCCCTGGAAATCCTAGTGTGCCATTTTGCCATACTGACTTGCTCTTTCTGTGTTTTGACATCTTGTTCACCTTTTAGGATATTCTCTGCCTGTGAGACAAAATATTGACGACTTCAACACACAGCAGAACATGCAGCTGGGGAGGCTGTGTGACATCTTAGGTACAGTAAATACTTCCACACAAATGACTCTTGGGAATGTTTATCAGAGGATGTTGATAAAAAATGTTTAATTTTGCTTATTTGTTTTCCGCTGCAAGGAAAAAGTGTGGATTTCTAATCTACTGGCAGGGCAAAATAAATGTTTTGTTTTAAAGAACAGATTTATAGTGGTGTTGACTTGAATTAAAAAATGACATTTTTAACTAATTTATTTGGGTTGCTTTTTCTAAATTCTGAGGATTTCTCTCCTATAGCCCCAAATCCTCTTCATTTCCCGACTCTAGCAGTGAGGGAAGCCAACATTTTATATCTGTGTCAATATTGTCTATTATGTTATCTGGGGAGTAAGTGGAAGGTGGTATCAGAAATGAAAAGAATTGTTTTCACTATAAGACTAAGAGGGATGTGAAGATAGATTTTTTTTAAAGAAGCTTTTATTTAAATACATATCATCTAGTTATTAGAAAACAGGAGGTGCCTAGGAGAGGGAATTCTTAGAAATATAGACCTCAGGTGGTAGATATTTCCTTGTAAAGGTCAGGCTCTGATACTGGCTTGGTCAGTTCTAAATCAGACACCAACCTGGGCCAGGAGAGAAGACAATAATGCCCTGGTTTGTGCTGCTGAAGACCAAGGTTCAGGTTAGGCTTAACACAAGGTCGCAAAGGCTAAGCACTAATACTGAATCAGTTTAGAAGGTACTGGCCAGAAATTCAGGGTAAACAAAAACTAGGTTTTTATTAGTTACCAAATAAGAACTTCTTTGTTTTGCTAAAATACAATCGCTATGGCCTTTATTTAAGCAAAACAAGGAAGAATTTTAAATTATCAATGACCAACTCAGCTGGCTCCCCGGAATGACATACTTTACATGATTCATATATATTTCAACATCATTATTATTTTATAAATGCCATTTGGTAACAAAAATACATCAGTACTAGAAATTTACAGTGTCCTAAAATAATAATAGTGTAATTGCTTTAATCTATTATGTAGGCACTAATATCGTTTTTCAGAGTTACAAAAAAATTTTTTTTTTAATGACTTGAGATTGATTTGTTAGTGCTGAGCTATTTCAACTAAAAACCTGACTGGGTGGAAATCACTGAAGTGCAGCAGAGGGCAGACTTTGCTCTAATTTATTTGAATTAATTTTTTTCTTTAGCTTTTTATATACCGTTCTATATATAGCACAAACCATCACCAAAGAATTTCTTTACAAAAGAGTCTCATTATTAGAAAACATTTGAAAATATGAGGTTTCTATTTTAAATAATTCAATAGTTCAATCTATGTCTTACCTGCAATGGAAAATTTCACGATGAACTTTTCTGAGAGACTATGAACCAAATGCCTTTTTTTGGTACACTGTCTTCATGATATAGCAATCCGATCCCAAAACCTCTTCAAGAGATGTAATGGAAGTTTAGAAACAGTAGTTAGAAGGTAGAAAAAGTACTTGCTTGTGAAATTTTAAAAAAATATATGAAGAAACTAGGAAAAATAGTAATTTTATGTAAGAATAAATTATCTTTTTTTTTTAATTCCATTAATTCCTAGTGAAGTGTGTTGACTTTTTGCTTATTCAGGAAAAACAAAGAGAATCTGATTAGGTTGGTAAGACCTGTCATTTGGATATTGGCGGTGAAGTCAGGGTGTCAGGTGGAGACCCCAATGGCTACCAGTATTTTCAATTCCTAGAGGAGTTAAGCAAGAGAGTGATCATTATTGACTATTGACTAGCGATCAAAGCAATCTTTGTCTTCATATTAATTGCTTTCCAAAATTACCTGTCAATTAATTTTGAACATTTGCAGATGCACAAACAAATATTGGATATTTGTGTTAGTGATATGTATTCCTTTGCCAGAAATGCACAGGGAGGGTGAGATGAGCAATATAGTTTGTTGTTATTTGTAACCTAGAAATTCCTTCCCAAGAAAAATTTAGTTTTCTTCAGCTGTGGAGTCTTTATTTTTGTTGTTTGTTTTTATGTCTTTTTTTAATACTTAAATAAAATCCTAGTTTGGTTTTTAAAACCAAATAAAGGGGCGCCTGGGTGGCTCAGTTGGTTAAGCGACTGCCTTCGGCTCAGGTCATGATCCTGGAGTCCCGGGATCGAGTCCCACATCGGGCTCCCTGCTCAGCGGGGAGTCTGCTTCTCCCTCTGACCCTCCCCCCTCTCGTGCTCTCTATCTCTCATTCTCTCTCTCAAATAAATAAACAAAATCTTTAAAAAAAAAAAAATAAAATAAAATAAAATAAAATAAAACCAAATAAAGACCATATCCAAAAGCCACACTGAAGTTAATTTAGATTGGTTTTGTACAGATCTTCGCCATTTAACCAGCTTTTTTGCACTTCAGCGTTTCTCTAAAGAAGAGATAACACTACCACTAAAAAATAGATACAATGATTCCTTCAGAAGGAGGGCTGTGAGGTACCCTTAGTTTAGTAAGACACTAAGTCTCCTCTTGCAAACCCAAAGTTTGGGATAAATAATTTGGTCATTCAGCAACTGGATACAAGTTATTTACTGTCTCCTCAGTTAATTTTATTTGAGGTTTATGTGACAATTTGGTTTCAAAATCAAATAGGGGCCACTTAGATATTTACATTTATGGAGTGCCTCCTCTCGGCTCAGCATGGGGCCACTCAGCATGGGGCCAGTTTGGAGGACACCGCTTCTCCTGGGGGAGGATTTCTCCCACAGGTCATTGATCTCACTGATTGTGTGAGATTCTCTACTTCCCAAATCCCTCCATCCTCCCAAATCCCTCCGGTCAGTCCACAGGTATTTATTGAGTGGCTCCTGCATGCTCCATACCATACCTGGGCTTGGGGGAATATAGGAAAGAGCATACACCTTGCCTTTAAAGAGTTTGGAGAGACAAGATTAATAGATTTGAGACAGTAGGATGAAATGACCGAGGATACTACATCATGTTAAATCTTGGGGGCGCTGATAAAGGGAGGGCAAGTGTGGAGGTCAGGGTGTGGAATCACTGTTGGCTCCCCTAGTCAGGGTGGGCCGTGCCGCAGATTCCTGCACCTGTACTGTTTACTGAGTACCTACTATGTGCCAGATACTGCACCAGGTGCTTTATAGGTATCCTTTCATTTAATACTCTTCAAAACTCTATGTCCCAGGTGATTTTCTTCTCCATTTTTGAGATGAAGAACCGATGCTTAGAAAGGTTAAATACTGTGTCCAATGTTCCCAGGCAGCTGAGCTGGAATTTAATCAGTCCGTGTTCTATATATTCTTGTCAAACTGAACAGAGGAGTCCTCAAATCCCCTCTGACCCCTACCTGACCAAGGAAATATTTTACAGCTCTGCCTCCCCCGAACTTCCCGAAGCACCTGTTCCACGCGCTTCACTGGATCCGCCCCTCTCCACCTTGTTTGAAGGCTGTTTGTGCACATGAAATGGTCGCTCCTCGTGGGCATTCTCCCAGCTGCTTTGACTCCTCATTTCCCTCCATGTCTAGCCAAGTGCTTTGCCCCTACCGATCAACCAGTTATTTTATGAATGAATGAATGACTCCAGTGGCTGCTGATTCCCTGTCCCAAGTCCTTAAAATATTAAAACCCTGTAGTGGGTAATCTCATCTCACTACCCCATTTGGGTGGGATATTCAATTAGGATTTCTTTCTATGTACATACTAAGAAGCACAACTTAAGAAGAAAGACAGTTAAATTAAGACAGCATTTCCTTTAAACCAAGAATCACTAGATGTCCTATTTAAGTAATATACTCCTCTTTGGGAATGGAGCAGGGAAAAGGTTGGTTTCCTGAAATAATCATTGCTATGGTCATAATCAGACCATTTATTTGGACAGGATGTTCCCTGAATTGGCCCTGCCAAGTCCAGGCAGAATAAGAAATTGCAACTTCATCAGCTTTCTAAAGTTAATAGCTCTGTTTTATAATTTACTGAAGTTAATGGGATAAATTTTTAAAGCACTATGCAATTCCCATTGATGTTAATGGTAGTTCTGGGGCTAAATCCCTATGTATTATTTGAAAGCACACTTCCTTAGTACCTCACAGCCTTCCTTCTGAAGGAATCATTGTGTCTATTTTTTTGGTGGTGGTGTTATTTATCTTTTCTTTAGAGAAATGCTAAAATGCAAAAAAGCCAGTTAAATGGCGAAGATTTGTACAAAACCAATCTAAATTAACTTCAGTGTGGCTTTTGGATACGCTCTTTATTTTAAACTGTGCAACATCAATCCAATGCCAGAGTTCAGAATGTCGTTTACCTTTATACCAGTAATTAACATTGTGCCTGTTGTTTTTAGATGCCAATGTGAGCGTCATCTACATCTGCTCCATTCAGATGAACGATGAATTACTGCGGTATTACAATAAAATCCTGAGTCTACAGGCAGCTGTCAAATCGGGGAACCTTGAGGACAGAAGTGACCTGCAGGACAGGTTCAAAATTATCACCCCTGAAGCTATAAACATCTTCCCTGTGAGTTTGTCTTCTAATTACTATGGCTTCAGGGATGCAGTAAAATTAAATTGGAAATTTTATAACTTGCAACGCTCTGGTACACATCAGTGAAATATTATTGCAAGTTTAACAACTTTACTGATTAGACTACTAGTTGGACTGTGGGAAATAAATATCCCAGTTTAACTTGCAGACTTAGTTGAGCTACTCTTGCCCAGTTTCTCTATAGCTGAAGCGTAATTGCAGTGATTGGGTGGTACCGTCAAGTAGGTAAATTTATAACATCTATAGTTCCTTTTCTTTAATTTTGTGTGGTGGACGCCAAGACAGAGAAAGGCTGGGCCCACCCATGGTCACCAAGCTTGTTAGGGACAGAACCTCGACCAGGGCCCCTGTTTTCTGATTTCCACACTGCTATTCTTTGTTACTCCCTGGACTTGTTTCCTCAAGGGAATTTGGCCTGATTTACCACATCACAGGGTTCATAATGAATGAGGTTCAGATTTTTTTTTTTAACTTGTACTGATTTTTAATGAATGGGATGAATTCTAAATGGAACTCCATCCCCACATAAGAGCTTTTGGGAAATTCACGGAGTCACAAGCACAGTGCAAGAGATGGCTTGAAATGAATTTCTCGGGGCACCTGGGTGGCTCAGTTGTTAAGCGTCTGCCTTCGGCTCAGGTCGTGATCCCAGGGTCCTTGGATTGAGCCCCACATCGGGCTCCCTGCTCGGCGGAGAGCCTGCTTCTCCCTCTCCCACTCCCCCTGCTTGTGTTCCCTCTCTCGCAGTCTCTCTCTCTGTCAAATAAATAAATAAAATCTTTAAAAAAAAAAAGAAAGAAATGAATTTCTCTATGTTTTAACAAGAATTTAAACTTTCCATTTTAAACAACCAACATTTTAATACCTAATGGACTATACAATTTTGAGGAGACTTTTTTTTGTATAATTAAGGGTCTGAATTTGCTGCTAAAGATAGCTCTCTCCACGCACAAGCGGGATGCACCAAAATCTATGCTCTATTTTTTGGCAAAGAAATCGATGGCATGCTTTATTATCTATGTGTTGTTGCTACCTATTAACCCTTCAGATGCACCATGTTTTGACAGCCCCCCCCCCAAAAAAGGCCTGCCAGGGCTGAGTAGGTTTGCTATAATATTTCTGCTTTGCTAGTATACTCAGTGAATTGTCATCAGGAGTTACTCTCTTCTACCAAGATAAACATTTTATTTTTTCATAACTGGATACCTCAATGTTCTCCCCAAGCTCTCTGCCTAGCTCTGTTTCATGGGCACTGCTTGGCTGTGGAGGAGGATACAGGGACAGGGTGAACAAGAGAAAAGACAGGGAACAAATCATCACCACTTCCTTATGCTCTTAGGAACCTCCCAATATCCTCCATCAGGGCAAGGATTGCTTGGTGCTCTCTAGCTATCCCCTGGCCTCAGTGGCAGGGTCACAGTGGACATTAGAAAGCAAGGAAGAAAAAACTATCATTACTGTGTAGTTAATTTCCCAATTTTATCCAGCCAGAAAATGGAGCTAATGCCTGGTAGCTGCTGATAAGGAGTTTCTGCACATCTGAAAAGTCCATATACATCGAAGAGGCATGGAATGGGAAAGGGGCACTAATTTGGGAACAGGAAAGTGAATGCACAAGTAACATTTCTCAAGTGCTTAGCACACATTTTCTCTTTTGGTCCTCAGAACAATGCCAACAAGACAGAAATGGTCAATCTCCTTCTATGGCTAAGGAAACCAAGTCTCATTTTCTAGTCCAAAGTTCTTGGTGGGGTCAGAGTCTAAACCAAAATCTGTCCGACCCCAGAACACTGTCATGAATTGGAATGATTGCGTTGCTCCTGGACGCCCCTGTGGCTAGCTCCCTTTACCTTTCTGGTCCTCTGATCTTCATCTATACAATCAGGTGATGGGTAAGGGCATTTCAAAGACCCTTCCAGCTCTACAATCCTGTTACTTGAGACAGGTGCCCTGCAGTCCACTCTTCAGCTTCTAAGCAAGAGATAGGCGGTTGGCACTAACAGATGCCCTGAGTCACATTCATAGTTAGGTCTACATCTTGGTGAGTAGAAACGAGTAGGGAATATTTTAAGTGCTTAATACTTCTCATAGTTTAAATTTAAATTATTTGAGTAATTAATCACTCATAGGCAATCAACTTTTTAAAATACAAAAATTAAACTCTCATTTTCACATCAGTTCCCACTCATGTTTAGTTATTGCTTTATTTCCTTTTAATGGGTTTGAGAGATTGTATCAGTGCTGATTTTCATTCAAATGGATGGCTTTGAGGAGATTTTTTTTTTAAAGCGTGCCAAAAATCTGTTTGTACATCTCTCCAAGTTACTATATGATGCTTGAATCTGTAATGGTAAAAAGTGCTCTTATAAAGTCATCATGTCTGGTTGTGAACATTTTAATGTTTACGAAGACATCCCAAACAACTACTTTTTGTTTCAGGTCCAAAAAAAAAAAAATCAGTGGTGATAAATCAAATGTATGTATAATGTTATGAACTAGGAACATTTTAGACTTTTGTCATCTATGCTAATTTGCTGCCTGGATCTGATGATCATGATTTTCTCTCAACGGTCATACAAGACCCACGGTCAGTAACGTGTCCTGTGCCATCACTCACTTGTATTCAAATCTTTACTAAACACATATCGAACACAATACTGTGGGACCATCTTGCCTGAAGAACAAGGCAGGCGCACAGATGACTATAAACCAGAGTCCGGCTGCGTGCTCACCAAGAGAGGAGCCAGAACCCCAGCCTGGCTGGAAGTGGCTCAGAATGCTAATATTAGGTTCTATCACTGCATCTGCCACCCCCTCATCACACCTCATAAACTCACCAGACCTTCACTACTCAGTCTGGAAAATGGGAGAAGTTGTGGTAACTGCAGCACAAACCTGTGCCAGTCCCGGGTTTCCGTCTTGCCTCTGCTGTTTGCTACCTGTGTGACTTTGGGCAAGTCACTTGAGCCTCCGTTTCCTCACCCCAAAAGAGGAGCTGTTCATTGGTACAGTGTTCTATGGATCAAACAAGAGAATAGTGTCAGAGGCCTTGGCCTTGTGACCTTGACACTGAGAGCACGGCCACCTTAAAGCAGTCTTCTAGGTACCGTGTAAAGCTCACCATGTTACATATATTATGACTCAAGTCCCCAGTTCTCCCCAACACTTAATTTTTTTACCTTTCCTCATTGGAATAATTTGTAGGGCAAGGAAAGGGGTGAGATAAACAAGAAGAAAAGATGGTGATTAACCAGATGGGAAACACAAACTCAAGAGGTGGTACCAGCCATTGTGTGGTGGAGCACTGGGTTTCCCAGAATTGCATTCTCCAAAGTAGGTGTTGAAAATGGATTTAAATAATGGTAGAAAAGGCATATGACATAGATCGAAGAGCTTAGAATAGAACACTTGCCCTGGAAGAAGGGCCCCATAGTGTAAATTATATAAATCCTCTTCTCAGAGGGGCTCTGTTTTTTGTCTTTTTTTCTAATTGGGGTCAAAATACACATAACATAAAATTTACCATTTTAATCATGTTAGGTGTGCAGTTCGGTGGCTTTAAGTACACTCCCACTGTTGTGCAATCATTGCATTATCCATTTGCAAAACTTTTTGAACATCTCAAGCAGAATTTCTGTACCCATTAAACGGTAAGCCCAGAAGAGCTCTGGTTTGAAAGGGAAAGTTATTTCAGAGCTGGAAAAACCCCAGAGACTTCTAGTCAATGCATCATTTGAATATGGGGGCTGAGGCTCAGAAAGGTCGAGTTTTCTAAATCACCTTGCAAGTTACAAATTCAGGCAGGACTGAAACCCAAGGGCTCTCCTCGCTCTCTTTCACCCATACTCATCATTACATCTAACGGTTTGCAAACTGGTGCTGCTAACATTCCCAGAAACAGTTGAGTAGCTTTTCTCCACATTTTTATGACATGTTGAGTAGATAATTTTGACCAGAATTGGGGAAGTAGGTGCGAATCTGCAAAATCCCTTAACTCCCTTAAGACACTGGCACCTTGCATTATATAATTTGCATGGCATTTTTAATGACTTTATTTTAAAAAGAGAGTTTTTCTCTGTAATAATAATTAGTACCATTTATTGAATATCAACTCAATGTCATGCATTATAACAGGTGTATTAGACTCATGATCTTATTTTAGGCTTAGAGCAACCCAGCAAACAGGTATTTTTATTTCCACTTAACAGATGGAGAAACCAGGGCGTTCTGGGTGGCTCAGTCAGTTGAACGTCCGACTCTTGGTTTCGGCTCAGGACATGATCTCATGGGTCATGAGATCGAGACCTGAATCTGGCTCCCCACTCAGCAGGGAGTCTGCCTGGGGAGTCTCTCCCTCTGCTCCTCCCCCAACTTGCTCTCACTCTCTCCCTAAAATAAAATAAATATATCTTAAAAAAAAAAAAAAACAGATGGAGAAACTTAGGCAGAGGGAGTATAAGTCACTTACCCAGGTTCAGGTAGCTTATAAGTGATAGACCTCGATTCTAAGCCAGCACTCCCAAGTCCCCAGCACCTTCTCACGTGCCATGATGCCCTCCTCTCTAGAGGAAATGAGCAATCTTGGGTTCTCATATTCCACCCTTGGCTAATGGCTTTCCTGTGCCCATCGTCACCTGATTAAATCCTCCCTTATCCTTCGAAATTCACCTCACCCTTCAAAATTCACCTCAACCCCAAACTCTTTAATAATAATAATATGAACTAACATTCATTATGTGCTTATTATATAAGTGCTTTCCATGCATTTATCTCACTGAATCCTCACAGCATGCCTATGAGATGGGTACTACTATTATACTCATTTTACAGATGAGGAAACTGAGGTCCAAGGAGAATGAGTAATTTGCCATCTCCACTGTCCCCACCAGCACATGGCCTCTGCCTCCCTCCTCCATGCCTCCCAGCCCTCTGTAACCCTTTATGGCCCTTCTCTGCCTTGTATTGGTTATCCATCTACTGTACTCATTTGTGTCCCCACTCCTTGAACGCAGAGACATGCTTGCACTGGTTTTGGTATGTGCTGACCAACTGGCTCTGTCCTCTGCCCCTCCTAGACATGCCAGAATTGTTTACTTTATTGAATGAGCAGTCACATGTATTACTGAGTGAGGTCTAAATAGTCAAAAATAGGGCGCCTGGGTGGCTCAGATGGTTAAGCGTCTGCCTTCGGCTCAGGTCATGATCCCAGCATCCTGGGATCGAGTCCCGCATCGGGCTCCTTGCTCAGCAGGGAGTCTGCTTCTCCCTCTCCCTCTGCCTCTCCCCCTGCTTGTTCTCTCTCTGTCTCTCCTGCAAATGAATAAATAAAAATCTTTAAAAAAAAAAAAAAGACTATTTAAAAAAATAGTCAAAAATGAAATAAAAAGAATTTTTCCATTGGAAAATAAATTTAAGTCTTGCTGAAGTTTTCAAATATTTTCTACCCATGAATCCTCTCCAGAGTGTTGGCTAAAAACCAAAACAATCATTATAAAAGTACATATTTTCTAAAATGGACTTGGTGGTAGAACTTTGGAAAGAGAGTACCGAGTGCCCTTTGCCTAACCAGTCACTTGAAGAGTTGCCGGATTAAGAGTCCCATATAGTCAAGCATACTGTAAGGCTTTTTTCTTCATTTTTTGTATTGATTTTCCAGACGCTTTAGTGTTAAACCATGCCAGAAGTGTTGCAGAGATGAATCACTATTATCCAAAGGCTGCCAGCCTCTTTTCCTTCTGACAGAAGGATAATTCCACGTGGATCAAATAAATACAGATGTGTAGTAATTAGTTCTATTCCCAGTGAGCCTATTTCCAACACACTAAAGATGTGAGCGATTATGGAGCCTCACCCCAACAGCTTTTATCAATTTAAACTGCTAAACAACAGGATAGGTCATAACCCAGCCTGCTATTAATAATGCATTTATTGTGTGCAACATTATAAATTAGGCATATGGACTAGAAAAAGAACACCTTTTAACAAGAACGATATGGTCTCCCCCCAGAAGCATCATATGTGCCTGGCCACTTACCTGATGTACAGTCCCAAGGCGATCAAAAGAATAAAAAATCTCATCCAAGGAAAAGAGGCCTACATTGTCAGCGGGCTCCTCCACAGAGATGATTTGGCCGTGGCGGATATGTTAAACTTACCCATCCTGGGTCCAGAGCCTGAAATAGCTCATCTTTACAGTAGCAAGTCTGGAAGCAAATGGGTCTTTGAGAGCGCCAATGTGCCAGTCCCTCCTGGAGTGTATGGCATCTATTGTCACCAACAGGTATGTGGGGTGGACAGAGTGAGGCTCTGTTCAAGTATGTCACACCCTCTTGACCTTGTGGGAACTTCAGCGCTTCTGAAGCCAGCCCTACCCAATGAAGAATATATGGAATGCTTAAGTTATTTGATGGGATCTGCGTGAGGCCTTCATGTTTCAAGGGCTCTTCCTGTTGGCCTTGCAGAAATTGCGGGGATTACTCAAGATATTTACTCATTTGTGTTAAGCCATTGAAGGCCCTGTCCATGTACTAATCCGCTCTTAGTATTTATCACCTTAAAATGGATTAATTGATCATCATATTAGCTAGCCAGTCATTTAGGAGGACCCTAGGAAACTTAAGAGGCAGTTTTGGTGAAAAGGAGCAGGTTTGGAAAACCCCAGTGAGCAAGCCTTTCTGCCAAGTCAGGTTGTGGAGGTTCTACAGCAGAGGGCTGCAGACATCCTTGGCTCTCAGGAAGGGGTCATAAAGGGAGTAGGAGGAAAATCCCAGAAAGAGGACAGGAAATGGATCTGGAATAAAACTATCTGCATCTGTGTCTTTGCTTTGGACCAGGTCTCTGGCTATGCATTCCTCCAGCAGACAGTTAGATCCTAACTGTTTAGAGAATTATAATATTAGTCACTAGAAATGATCTTTGAGTCAGCTCTGGCACGTGTTCTCCCATTTAACCACTACCTTTTTTTCACAAGAAAGAAATAAAAAGACAAATGACTGTTAACATTTCCTCACCTCTGTTTCAGTAGCTCTCTTAACCATTACTCCTAGCCAATCACAACTACCACAAGCACCCAGTTCTCAGGAACCTAAAGAACTGCGCTCAATGAAGCAGTTTGTGAGGGACGATACTTAGGGATCCTCCTTCTTCCTCCAGCCGCTTGATCATGATGTTCTGTATATCATAGTCGCCAAGGCCCCAGAATCAAGCCTTTAAACAAACCGTACTTCTCAGAGACTAGTTTGAAGGTATTGTTAACTTATTAATTGCCCTAAAATGTTTCAGTCTTGCTAGAGTGTTCTTGGGCAATACATGGGCTCATGAAGGAAGTCGCTCTTAAAGATGGCAGAGTCTGGAAAAAGCACAGGCAATTTTAGTGAGTGAGAGAGATGCTCCCCCTAAACTGGTGTGCCCCACTGTTCACCGCCATTAGTTTCCACTGGAATTTGAAGGTAACAAAGTGGATCGCTTGACTCTGCTTCCCAGGGGAATACTCAGCTGAGAGACTTGAGACAAGTGAAATGCACTATAAAACTATAATTTTACACATGTACATTACATGAAACAGTCTTCAAAACTTTAAAATGTATGTGCAAAATTTATATGAAGTCTTGCTTTCATCTTGACTGACAGAGAACTCAGGCCATCTTTGCTAGGAAATGTTTTAGAACTGTATACAGTTCATTGTGGAATGCAGTAAAACCTCCCTCTCAGGGCACCTGGGTGGCTCAGTCGTTAAGCGTCTGCCTTCGGCTCAGGTCATGATCCCAGGGTCCTGGGATCGAGCCCCACATCGGGCTTCCCGCGGGGCAGGAAGCTTCTCCCTCTCCCTCTCCCACTCCCCCTGCTTGTGTTCCCTCTCTCGCTGTGTCTCTCTCTGTCAAATAAATAAATAAATAAATCTTTAAAAAAAAAAGACAAAAACCTCCCTCTCATGCTGGTATTCAGAAGCAGGATTAAAAACCTCCTCGTAGACAACCTGGATTTGAGGGACATTTAATCTATGGCATGTGCAAATCATATCACAATAAACCAAGTTATCACTGACTTCCACTCCACTTGTTTGAAAACGTATGTCTGAGGTCATCAAGAATTAAAGTACTCCATTGAGATTTTTCCAGATAGTGACTGCCCTACCTAATCTATCTGAGTGTGTCAGCGTTTTGAATTTGCAGATGGTGATGAATCAATAATGCTGACTTTTTACCGATGTGCATCATAAACTTAAAGCTGGTGAAAGAAAGCTGTGATTATTTTAATTTAGGTGAATAAATATTCCCAACTATCAGCTGGATTTTAGCAGTTGACATTTTTCTACTTCTGCTCTACACTAGTATAAAATGAATGGCAATTAAAAAATATATTACCTCTTTTGAACAGATAGACTCAAATAGAAAATTGATAAATGTTTGGAAATAGCATAAAGTCATTTGGTTTATGATTAAGTAATTTATTTGTTTATTTTTTAAATCTAGCATGAGCCCAGTGAGCATTTCCTCTTTTGATCCATAAAGTAACCATGCAAGCTCTCTTTCTGACATGTGGTCTGTATAAAGTATCGACAGCTTTGGTTAAATAATCAAAACTGGCGATGCTATTTTTAAAGCACTGTTCAATTTTCACTTAAAGATAGCACATAATTCTTTCCAGTGGTGCAGTCTTTACAATACTATTGATCCTCTTCATTACTGTAGGGGATCCATCAACAGACACCCATTTATAGGATTCTCAGAAGCAACAAATAATAGGATTTGGAAGAAACAGATAATAATTCTGTTAGTAGTTGAAACTTCCAAATATACAATGTATCTGAACATACAGTGAAAAAGGCTATGAAGGCCAGAACACTAAAAAGGCTGGAACACCTTTCCTTACGTTAGCAAGAGAATTTCATCAGATATTAACAGCCAGAGACCATTTCTACTTCTGCAAAGTGCGATCATGATACAGCAAAGTATGATTAAATATAGAATCTGTCTTCTCAACACATTAGAGAAAGAAGGGATGTAACTCTGGAAGGCACATTACAAAACCTTCCTAGGCTATGCTCATAGACATATGGTATGCAGACAAGAGTACTTGTCATTTAAACACCAAATTATCTACAGACACTACTTGATAATTAGGGAGCTAAGACAATTCCATTTCCACCCTAATTGAATACCCCATGGTGGCATGGGGCTTCTGGGGATCCCAAGTATGCCCATTTTCATATCACTTCCATACTGCTGTGTAGTGTAACACCCCCAGGAAGATTTGCTGAAAAGACACAACACAGGAGAACAGATTGTGTCTTTAATCAAAATAATTTTAATCTTCTAGCTCCAGACTTCAGCAGAACTACAATCTTGAGTCCTTTCACACTCTTTTGTTAAAAAACCAAAAATTAAAAATCCATTCAGTGAGCAAAAATTCATCCAAAGAGAAGAGAATGAGAGTGTCACAGAGACCTCCCCAAGTACAGAGGACCATAGTCAAGGGAGCTCAAAAGAGAGAATGCTTAGTACTGTTGTGTTTCTTTCTGGGTAATACAGACCACAACCTTCTGATGGGAAGACCAGACAAAAAATCATTCTGTGATCTAATGGCTTGTTTTTCTCCAAGGCTCTACTAGTAGAGTATTACTTATAATCACGTAATCTGGGCTATAGACTTTTGCCTGATTCAAATTTATCCGAAGTGGCTTAATTGACTACAAGGAAAATTGCTTCTCTTGCTCCTCTTCTGACTTCTTTCTCCATCTCACCCTCCTCCTCCACCTCTCTGCAGGCTGAGGTAGGCAGCATGGAGGAGAAGGAATGCACTTAGGTGCTGGAATCAGAGCATCCTGGGTGGAGTCTCTGCTTTTCCACTTAACACCAGGTGATCGGTGATTGTGGGCAAGTTATTTATAAATTAGCTGAGTCTCAGGGTACCTGGGTGGCTCAGTTGGTTAAGTATCACCCTCCAGCTCAGGTTAGGATCCTAGGGTCCTGAGATTGAGCCCTGCCTCAGGCTCCCTGCTCAGTGGGGAGTCTGCTTCTCCCTCTTCCTCCCCTTCTGCCTCTCACCCTGCTCATTCTCTCTCTCTCAAATAAATAAATAAAATCTTTAAAAATAATAATAAATCAGCTGAGTCTCAGTTATTCATATATAAAATGGAACTAATAATGATGCTTGCTTCATATTTGAGTATTACAAGAGAAAAGTCATGTAAAGAGCCTAGCCAAATGCCCAACTCCTATGGAGAGTTCAGTAACATTAGATGTTGCTATCCTTGTGATAATAAAGCTTCAACTTCTATCCCTTCCATTTCCATGGGATTGAGCCCAGTTCTTGCCGGAATACTGTTTCAAATAAAACATAGTTGTTTTCATTAATGTTTTATCTCCTTTATCTGTCTTGTTCACATAATACATATGACATACTTGGCCAATTGACCAAATGCATTTCATGTATGTTAATGAGGAAACAATTAAACCTTTATAGGTTATAACATTTAGAAACTCAGCAAAGCTCCAAACAGTTAGTTTTCAAGACTATAACTCATTATGGTCTTGAAACTATAAAAAAAAAAGCATTTGAAAAATCAATAAGTAAACACATAAAGTTCTAGCGGTGCCTGGGTGGCTCAGTCAGTTAAATGTCTGCCTTTGGCTCAGGTCATGATCCTGGAGTCCCAGGATGGAGCCCCACATTGGGGCTCCCTGCTGAGTGGGAAGTCTGCTTCTCCCTCTGCCCCTCACCCCGCTTGTGCTCTCTCTCTCTCTCTCTCTCGCTCTCTCTCAAATAAACTCTTAAACACATGACGCTCTAAAAAAGAAACAAAACAACACCAAGATTCAATTACAAATATTCAGAGATTCTTTTGCCTTCAAAAACCAGCAAAATGATAATTTCAGAATTTCTTGAAATAAGACTATACTTTTAAACATACCTTTAGTCCCAGGGGTTAGTGGTTTCTTCACATCATTCATATATATATATATACATATATATATATCACTTAAAACTTCTAATCTGTCCTACTAATTAAAAGATAAATGGGGCACCTGGGTAGCTCAGTTGGTTAAGCGACTGCCTTCGGCTCAAGTCATGATCCTGGAGTCCCGGGATTGAGTCCCACATCAGGCTCCCTGCTCAGCAGAGAGTCTGCTTCTCCCTCTGACCCTCCTCCCTCTCATGCTCTCTGTCTCTCATTCTCTCTCTTGCAAATAAATAAAATCTTAAAAAATAAAAAAAAGATAACCAAATGAACAGACCATTCATTTGAATACACCTAATAAGTACAAGTAAGTTAATACAGTAAGAAGGAATCTAGAAAACGAGCCATATTAAATGTTGCTGTGTCTTGGGCCCCACAGATGCTAGAACAGCTGGGTCATCTGGTCATAGATCACCTGGAAATCCAACGCTGGCTCTTTAAAATGGACTATGAGTTTGGAGGAAACGGGACTGCATATTGTGACATTCCTTCCCACCTACAGTGCTACAAGTGGTTCCTACAGGAGAGGGGCAGATACGGCCACAAGAACTGGAGGAAGAAATGGGCACAAGTGAGTTCAGTGTTGACATAAGCCCATGGTGTCTGTGTGCAGTTAGCAGATGATGGAAAAGGCTCAGCTGGGTGGTGAAAGCATTTTCTTCTAGACTCAGCTGCATCACCTGTCAGCAGTGAGATCTTAGGCCGGTCATTTTGACTTTCTTGGGCCTCAGTCCTCATATACAAAGTGACTGGGCTTGCTCAAGTTACTTTAATGTTATTTCTAATATATTTTTAAAATGTTTTTAAATTTGAGTAGACACACAATGTTACATTAGTTTCAGGTGTACAAACAGTGATTCGACAACTCTATACATTATACGGTACTCACCACAAGCGTAGCCACCATCTGTCACCATACAGCACTATCACAATACCACTGGCTACATTCCCTATGCTGTCACTTTCATCCCCATGACTTATTCATTCCAGTTATATTCATAACTGGAAGCCTATATGATTAGGTTATTTTAAATGTCCCTTCTTTGGGCCCTAAAAGTCTTCAGTCACATCTTCAAGTTGATTATGATAACTAGGAAGTAATTTTTTTTACCATATTCAAATAGCATTACAAATCTCATCTTTTGGTTTAAGTGGGTCTCGATCATATGCTTCTAACAAGTGTTGTTATTAAACTGGCTGTGTTTTATTATGAGAGACAAATTCTAGTAGTGAGTGGTTGTCACCTGGAAGCTAATGTATAAAAGCATTCTATCAGCAGTCATATGTTTTTGAAGGCAGTTCAAGGAAATTTATGTAACTGCTGGTCCCTATGAGATGTTGAGAAAATAATAAATCTCAGCCAGAAAATCTCCCAGCAAAAACCAAATAATAGGAAAGAAGCTTTAGCACATGAGTGGATGTATATAGGTTTTTCCATGTATACTGGTGGAAGGATGAATTGTACAACTTCTTAGTCTGTTCTAAACTTGCTTAATAATTAAAGTAATTTTAATGGCTTCATATATCAGTTAAACCCACCATTCTTAAAGCTGCCTCACTTTTCATCCAGAGGCCTAGACCTCCCTGGCTTCTCTGAATATCAAATCTCTGTTTTGGCTGATGTACTAATGAAAGCATAACTGATAGGAAAATGTGGGCACAAATTCCCTTAACTGATTCCTTCCCTGCCGACGTACATAGCGGTGGGCTGGGCAGTAAGTTGCATCTGCTTTGAGCATCCCACTACAACAGTATATGAATCAAGACACAAGTGATGGAAAGGGAGGGGCGCACAAAAGAGAACCACATTATTCTTGTGGAAATGAAATGACGAATAAATCTAGAGAACAGTCAGAAGAGAGAGTTCCCTTTGATAAATGTTACTGTTCTCCCCATGATCTATTCCAGGCTTTTCTTCCCCCTCCATCAGTGAATGGACTAAATGCACTACCTGTCATGGCCAGATTTTTACATATTATTTAAAGGATACCAAAGTGAATTACTCTTCTAGAAAAAAAATAAAACAAGGAAAATGTATTTAATTTTGAGGCCCATAGAGATTTCTCTTGTGTTCTCGTTAAACTGGATTTTATTTCATATTATTTATTTCAATTTTCTTTTTAAAGCAAAACAGCTGAGATTAAACCATGAAAATAAGACTTTTACATTTAAAAAAAATCAAAATGTTCACGTGCAAGGTATTTTTCTCAATATTTCAAGCTAATAATTTTTAAAGAATTCCCTGGTACTAGACTATGATAAACTTAAAATGTTTGACTTTTAAGTTTAAAAAATGGTTAGAGTAATAACATGTGGCTGAATTGCACTTAAAAGCCTGACTACACGTTATTTAATTTCAATTACTTTCAACTACACCGTTTAAAATTGTCACCAAATACATTTGGCGTTAGTGTTAATATTATTAAATGTGAAACTCTTGAATAATTAATTACCTACATCATTTTTTTAACTTAACAAGGAAAAAATAATTATTCAGAAATCTTTTTAATACTGTGAGGGACTGTGCTTAGCCAGGATGTAGTTAGAAGCCAAAAATAAAAATGAAAAGTAAAGTGGTTCCGAAGAGCTTTTTTTTTGTAGGAGACTATTGACATTCTTTTGCCTTCAAAGTGAAATTGTATTCAGAATAGAAGTGAACTGCCATCTCCACTGAGTGCAGATACTGAGAATTTAGGATTGGAATTATGCTTTGTTCCAGAAGACCATGGTAATGGTGCACATTTAGACATCAAAGCATTACTTTATGAGCACAGGCATGTTTAAATGTCCTATTACAGTTTGTAGACCTGTTTCTTTTGATAATGAAGATGTTGTGTCATCAAGCCTAGCCTGGCACATACAAAACATATGCTGGCAGGTTATTAAAAATTTCAGCTTCTTGATGAAAGACTATCCTGCAGGCTAAGAGTCCAGAGAAAGACTCCATTCTGGGAGAATTATTAGAAATGAGAATATGACTGTAAGGACTAAATTATGTTAATACTTACAAATAGCATCATTTGCATAGCACTTTATGACATGATACCATGATTTTTCTCATTGGTATGTTGTAGGCAACAGATTAAAAACAGTGCTGTTTATGGGAGTTTGAACTGTTTTGAGATTCTCTTGCATCTTATGCAGATATTGGTTTTAGATGTAGGCATGATTCAGTGTAGACTCAAGGATCTATACAAAGATCATCTTTTTTTTCCTACTTATCTAATTTAGAGCCAGCGTTATCTGACTGGTTGCAATTGAGACTCGAAACAAAGTTGTGGAGTCAACAAATGCTGGAAAAGCTGTAGTCACATTAAAAAAAAAAATCAGTATAGACATGTAAGTGATCTTAGGAAAAGCATAATGTTACATGATGGCCACAGCGGCAAAAGAGCACAACTCTTGTTTTGTTTTCATGGTGGTTTGGTACCAACCTTTCTCTCTTCATCCTGTCAGCTGACAAAACCTACTTCCCCCAACAGGTCCCATTAAACTTCACTTAACTACTGAATGCTTGTTAAGGTTTAATGAATCCACACACTTGCAGTTGCACACACTCCAAACACCCCACTCCCCAGTGGGGGCCATTTCTTTTCCTTTAGTAGGAATAAAGGCTTAAACAAAGGGCATGCTTGTAGGGGAAAAGCCTTCCTGGCCACTCTTACCCAAGACAGTGTAGGGAGACCCAGGTAGACATTTGCTGTGGTACCCATCCTTCTTGTGGTTCTTTCTTTCCTTTTTTAAAGGGTACATCTTCCCTCCCTCACTCCTGGGAGACTGGCTTGATGGCAGAGATGCTACTGGCAATGCTGCTTTGCAAGAAAAGGTCTTTCCAGAACAGTTTCTCCATGTAAAGAGCTAAACCAGTTTAATTTTGGATTGAACTTTGGATTTCTCTGTGCAGCCCTTTTTTTGGCCTCTTTTTCCCTGGATGGACAGTACAGGATGCCAAGGGCTTACTTAGGAGAGAAAGGAGGAAAAGGAAATTGAACTGCCTCTTGAATGCTACTACATAATATTGCTATTTTAGCCCATCCAAGAGCAGTTTTTTTTTAATTTTATTTATTTATTTGAGAGAGAGAGAGAGAACACAAAAAGGGAAGAGGGACAGAGGGAGAGGGAGAAGCAGACTCCCCACTGAGCGGGGAGCCCGATGCGGGGCTCAATCCCAGGACCCTGGAATCATGACCTGAGCCGAAGGCAGACGCTTAACTGACTGAGCCACCCAGGCGCCCCCCAAAGAAGTTTTATGTTTACTTGTACTTTCGTGTACTTTGTTAGACATCTGAAATTAATTTGGGGATCACCAAGGAAAACAATCTATATTTAAAAATATTAAAAATACAGGGGCGCCTGTCTGGCTCAGTAGGTAGAACATGCGACTCTTGATCTCAGAGTCATGAGTTCAAGCCCCACATTGGGGGTGGAGGCTACTTAAAATAAAAATAAAATTAAAATTAAAATATGAATACATGGCATCCACGCCTAGAAAAAAGTAGAATAAACCATAGTAGTTGTTTTCCTTCCTTGTAGAACGAAACGAGCAAACAAAATTACAGAGGAGAACCATCACCTACCTAGTCAGTGCCTTAGAACTCCATGTCTCTATTGTGAAGACCTCCATCTCTTGAGATGCCCTTGCCTCTGGGTCACAGGAGCTGCTATAAGATGGTTGAGCTTGGTGCTTATGTGGAATTCAGCAGGTATATTAGGTGACTCCAAAGAACCATTACCCTGCAACCACATAATTTTTTAGAAAAGCTAAACAATAATATAGTAAGATTAAGGAAATATTTAACCAAATAAGTACATAATCACTTTTCCCAAACTTAATTGTTTTCATTTTTGTGTATTAATTTTCAAGTGTGCTACATTTATTTCTTATAGCTACAATAATAGCATATATGCTATTTAAACATCAGATCCTAAACATCCTCCACGTTTATAGGTAGTTGTCACAATTAATGGCTACATAATATTCCCTCGTATTGATTTACTCTAACATATTAAACCATTCAACTAACTTGAAAATTTATATTCTTTCCCACTTTTTGAGTGAGGAAAGAAAGATTTGTTTTTATTTTTGTTTTTTGTATACATCTCTTTTAACTTCTGCTGAAGTTATTTCCTGCGAAGAAAGACTCGGGAGTAGAATGCTTTATGGCTCTTGGTACATGCTGCCCCATTACTTTCTAAGAAGGTAGTACCAATTTCCAAGGCTGCTAGCAGAGAATGAGCATACAAGTTTTGCCACCATCCTACCAGCACTGGATATGATGAACTGTTTGCACTTTTATTTTAGATGTCAAAATGCATCTTCTAATTGCTATTACTTGGTTACTAGCAAGGGATCCTTTTTTCACGTCCTTATTTATTATTTGTCTTTTATATCAAAAACACAAGTATGTTGTGTTTTTGGTATTAAGAGAAAATCTAGTTTTCCTAGCTGAAGAAAAAATCTAGGGTAATCATTTTCCCTAGTCATTAAACTCCATATTTTTTATATTTGTTTATTTTTATATATTAAAATCTTGACTTCTTAGATTATCTTTATGTATTTAGTAACTGCCA